AATGTTCTTTCCTTGCTGCCAACTGCTCCTGGTGCTTTACTATCCAGTCTCACTAACAATTTGTCATTTCACCTTCATCCTTCAGACATGGATTTAATAGTCCAGAGAGATTTTTGGTTCAAATCTTATTTAACTAATTTTTTAAAAAGAATTTTTGAAGTGATATGCTGAGTGTTTCAAGCCAAGGGTCTAAAAAAAAGAAAAACAGAAAAAAAACTTAATACCTATGATATATGCCAGGCAAAATTACTCATCTTTATACTCAGTTATTGTTTATGATCACTTAGTTAAAACAAAAAACAGACACACTTGTTTTCCTTAACATTTCATAATTTTAGCAGTATTGACACACATTAATTTTACAGAGTAATTTCTCAACTCAAATAGGAAAGCTGCCAACATGTGACTGTTTCTAACAATATGCACGTGACATGAACTTGAAGTTTAGACACTTCTCAGGAGGACACTTATTCTGCTCACTAAATGACATAGTACATAATCCCTGATTAACTTCTGGCTAAAGTTAGTATTTAAAACATGCACTGTGAGTTTCTCTTGCTAGAGAATAGTCCCAAATGTGGCTCTGTGGCAAACTGGTTACTCCCATGTCATTCTCCCACCTACTCTCATAAAAGAGACCCTCAGTTATCCAACACATACACAAAAAAAACCCAAATCAAGGTATTTCTTCAAGCATTCTTTCATACAGGCTGACAGTACTAATAATTCCCTTTTTTTTTTTTTTTTGTGGTACTGGGGTTTGAACTCAGGGTCTCACACTTGCTTGCTAGGTAGGCACTCTATCACATGAGCCATGTCCCCAGTCAGAGAACTAATAATTCTCTATGACAACACAGCTGTGATGTAAATATATGCTCTGGCTAAATAAGCAATAAAATTTAAGAATCTCTTTGAAGGTTGAAAACTGACAAACTATAGTTCCTTACCCACATTAAAAAACAAAACAAAAACTCTATCTGGGTACCAGTGGCTCACACTATAATCCTTGCTACTCAGGAGGATCGTGGTTCAAGGCCAGCCCAGGCACATAGTTCTCAAGAGAGACCCTATCTCAAAGATACCCAATACAAAAAAAAAAGGCTGGCAGAGTGGCTCAAGTGGTAGAGGGGCTGCCTAGCAAGTGTGAGGCCCTGAGTTCAAACCCTAGTATCACAAAAAAAATAAAAATAAAAAAAATTCTAACTTAACAAAAAAAAGAGTACACAATATAGAGTTTTATAGTTACATCTATGTAACATTATCCAGATCTTTTTGTTTTCTTGGTTTTCATTTTCATTAGCCTACATTCATCGTATAGGGGGGAATTCATTAAGCCAATTCCAAATAGCCTCACACTGAACATTGGTTAGACTGCCCCCACCATCATCCAGACACTTATGTGGAACACTTCAGCATATACTGAATAAGTAAAAATCCACAGGTCCACAGTGATATTCACAAAAGAGAAAAAAAATTGCCATCACTGGATTATTCCACCGATCCTTTACTCTAAAAGTTGGTTAAGGGGAAAAAGTATATGCCCGTCTTCTTAAAAGAGCTGAACTCCATTCTACTGACCAAAGAGAGCTCTCTTTCTTCTTTAAAACAAAAGTAGGCCAATTAATAAATGCAGAAGGATGACAGATACCTAGCCAGTTACCAAAGCATCACCTCACAAATTACTTGGTAACCGGAAAGGGAAACATATGACTTTCTGATGGAGAGCTCTCACAGTTGCAGCCATAACTAGTGATCAAACGAGAGCAACTGGCCATTCTGTACTTTCTGATGTGATGCATAAAACTATTCAGCCTCACCTGTATAGTATTATTGCCAAAAGACAATCAAACCTTTAAACCTAACTTTCAGTTTCATGAAAATGCAGTGCACAATTTCACATGAAAACAAGACAAGGGAAGAAGTGAGAAACTAGCGTAGTCTCTTCAAAGTGTCCGAAATAGGAAACCCGCTAATTTGTACAATTTAAGGCACACTAATGAAAACCCTTATTTTATACAATTAACATATGCTAATGGAAAAAGATTCTAAAATGAGAATTTGGCTAGCACTGCAAAGAAAATGTTCTAGTCTAAGATAAACCAAAGAGATAAACCAAACAGAAGCAATGTGAGAGTTTAGAGCACAGCCTCATTTAAAAACAGGGAAAAGCTGTAAGGCAGGACAATCAGAGTTTAGATTATGGATGGAAATTAAATGGAATTGAGGCATTAATGTTAATTTCTTAGTGTGATGAATGTATTATGATTGTGCAAGAGAATCCCCTATTATAAGAAGCATGCTGAAGTATTTAGGATGAAACAGTACCTCTGCATTCACATTAAATGTGTACACATATATATACAGTTATCTGACTGAAGTCTATACACAATACAAACAGGCATTGGTTGTATTTATTTTTTTTTTTTTTTGAGGTACTGGGGTTTGAACCCAAGGCAGGTACTCTACCATTTGAGCTACTCTAACAGCCCAATTACTATATTCTTAACTTTCTTATACTTTGAAAATTTTCATGAGAAGTTGAAAGAAAAAAGGACAACAACGTATCTGCATATAATTCATACCTACAAAGTACTTACACACAGACAATATTTTGTTTTGTACATTTTTAATCTTGGCTTGTTATGAACATTAGGAATAAGACAAAGGTAATCAAAAGGCATCATGAATAAAACACTGCCTGCCTTTTTATAATCCTGCCTGGAGCTAAGGGCATGGCTGAAATAGGACTCCTCCATCTTAACCTTGTTGGACCAAATGCAACACAGCAGATGGCTCAACACAAAAGCAGAAAGGCTGACAAAGTGGAAGACCTAGAGAATATCTGGGACTTATGCTAATTAGACACACATAAAATATACTTGTATATACAACCACATTAGACATCCCTGTAATTGTGAAGGTATTCTTTTACTTCTGCTTAACTTTTCAGATAACTGCAATTTTGACAACCATATAAATAGCCATGTCAATAACCACAAAAACCAAATATGAACAAGAAAACCACTTTTTTTTGGAGATGGGGGCTGGTCTTGAATTCGCCATAATCCTGTCTCAGCCTCCTGAGTGCTGGGATTACAGGCTAATGCCAACGCTCCGGGCTCCAATACTTCTTAAAGTTAATTTCTATTGTTATTAACAATTCTCTTAAAAATGAGTTTCAATCACAAAAGCACACATTTTACTCATATAAATAAATCCCTCTCATTACCTTATAATCTTGAGCAGATTTTTAAAGTATCTGAACCGTAATTTCTTTTTTCTTTTATTGGTGGTACTGGGGTTTGAACTCAAGGCCTTGCACCTGCTACCCAGGCACTCTACCACTCGAGCCACGCCCCTAGCCCTTCTTGTTTTAGTTATGTTTTGAGTAGGGGCTCAGGTTTGTGCCTGGGCAGTCTGAACTGCAATCCCAGCTAGGGTGATAGGCAAGCGACACCATGCCCAGTATTTATTGTTCAAGATGGAGAGAAGGGGGGTCTCACAACTCTTTGGCCCAGCTGGCCTCAAAATGCTATCCTGTGTTCTCCGTGTACAAGGATTACAAGTGTGAACCACCACTCCATAATTTATATCTTCAGAGCAAGAAATCCAGAGTGTGGAAAAGTCTGCAGGAAAATGAATGCAGTTTTTTTAATCACAGTACATGAGAAAATAAAAGGACAGAAATGTTAATAGCCTTCAAAAAGCCAACACCAAGCCACATACTGGTGGCTCATGTCTCCTACTTGGGAGACTAAGATCAGGAGGATCATGAGACCAGTCCAGGCAAATACTTTGAGAAGGCCCATCCCTAAAATCATCAGAGAAAAACAGACTGGATGTGTGGTGCAAGTGGTAGAGTGCCTACTTTGCAAGCATGAAGCCCTGAGTTCAAACCCCAGCCCTACCAAAAAAAAAAAAAAAAAAAAAAAGAAAAAACCGGAAAATCATAGGTGTAGATACATGTCGATAATCCTAATTACTCAAGAGGTCTAGATCAGGAGGATCGTGGTTAGAGGCCCACTGGGACACAGATTTTTAGAGACCCCATCTCAACAAACAAGTCACACATGGTGGTGCGCACTGTATCCCAGCTATGCAGAAGACGTAAGTAGGAGGCTCAAGGTCTGAGGCCACCCTGAAAAATACTTAAAAGGGCTGGGGGCATGGCTCAAGTGGCAGAACACTAGCCAAACAAGCACAAGGTCCAAGTTCAAACCCAGCACCAAAAAAAAAAAAAAAAAAAAACTTAACAAAAAAATCCAAAACCACTAGTTTTTCAAACAAGCAAAAAAACTGAGCCCATTGGGGAAAACTGAACACACACTGGGCATTAAATAATATTGAGCAAACTATGCATATTATGTTTTTATTTATCTATCTATCTATCTATCTATTCATTTTGGTGGTACTGGGATTTGAACTGAGACTTCACACTTGCTACACAGGCATTCTACCACTTGAGCCATTCTGCCAGCACATTTTTTGGGTTGGTATTTTCGAGATAGGGTCTCAAGAACTATTTGCCCAGGCTGGCTTCAAACCACGATCCTCCTGATCTCTGCCTCCTGAATAGCTAGGATTACAGGTGTGAGCCACAGGCACCCAGCTGTTTTTGTTTTATTTTTAAAAAGTCTGTACATCAGAAGTACATACTGAAGGTGAAATAATACCTAGGATTATTTTTAAATACACCAGATACACTCATATGTTACTTATACAACTACAGATTAAGTTTAAACAAATGATAATTATGTTTACATCCAATAAATTTTAATAGTAAAGAATTATTATATGCTAGTGCTTTTCAAAACTCAAAGCAATTCACCTCAAAAGGAGCTGGAAGAGGCAGTGGCAGACTTGATATTTTTGCAGATCTCTCTTTTTCCACAAGCAGTGCTTGCTTTCAAGCTTGTATATGCCTTAAAAATATGAGATGTCATCAATTAGTCTCTCAGAGTTAAAAACATAAAAGCCATTGACTGAAGATGTCCTCCAGTCTGATCCCACCAGCTCAGTATGCTGTTTAATAAAGTCAGTATGTGTGAGCATGTTTACCAACTGAAAGAGGCATCTCTAAAGACACAAAGCTCCAGGGAGGAGACTCGCTCAACAAACAGCTACTGTTCATTAGAACAGTTACAGCATAGAAATGTTGATAAAGATGGACAATTGCATAGAAGGACCACTGCACACCACTAACAGACTCCTAATTTTTAAAACATGCATGAAATACTAAAGACTTCCTCAAAGTCTACAACCTCATTTAGTATTCTTAATCACATAGATTTTATGTTTCTTTTACATCAGGAACAGATATTAGGAGGTACGTGCTCTGAACTGGTCACAGAAGCTCAGACCACAACTGGAAGAGGAAGCTCACTTTGCATGTTCACCTAAGTAAGCCATTCACCCACTGCATTATTTTTAAATCCAGCTTTAACAAATGCAATGGATATACTACATGACTTTTATCTAATATCTGCGTTCATAGCATCCTGTGTGCCCTCTATTCCAGCTCTCTTACTTTCAGTAGAAAATAAGTCAAAAATTATTACCAGGTTTTCTGTTTCATTAATATTTCCTTTTGATTTTTTTGTACTTTCAGGGCTTCCTTATGTCTCACTTCTGCTTTTCTTTTCCTTTCTGCTGCCCGCCGTGCCAGAGCATCCAAATCAGGTTCCTAAAAGTAAACACCACTTAAAATGCTACTGAAACAAGATGAATAGAAATGCATCTATTTGGCATCAGAATAGAAGTGACTTTTCGATTTTGTCGCTGCTCCCTCCACACTACTACAGTATTTCCCAAAGCATGGCAATGGTACCACAACATGCCATATCAGGAGGGACAAACAGAAACAATTTAAAATTAATGTAGTCATTTAACTTACTACAAAAACCTAAATAAAAGATAATTCTAAATACTTAGGACAAGAGTTAACTAATAAAAGAATCCACTTAAATTAAAATGCCAAATACATAGTAACACGCATGGCTCCCCAGCTAGGGAAGTATCATATAGATGCCACTTAAATGACTGAGGTTCAGGACTGGAGGCATGGCTCAAGTGATACAGCACCTGCCTAGCAAGCATGAGCACCAGGCCCTGTGTTCTATACACAGTATTAACTTAAAATGACTGAGGTCTAGGGGGAAAAAAACTGCACTAAAGCACAAAGTTAGAGGTGGCATGCATAAAGCCAGAAAAATTTGATGTCAGAACTTAGGGCTATTACTGAAAGCATAGATTAAAACCAGGGGCAAAGACACAGGCTGCCACATTTAAAAAAGATTTGTATTTGTTTTCTTTGCTAATTGTTATAAAAGATTTGTCTATCTTCGAACCAGCCTGTTTATTGCATTATTGACTCTGAGACCATAAATTTTCTTTCTTCTTCTTTTCTTTTTGGTGTTAATGAGGTTTTTTTTGGTTGGGGATTTTCAAGATAGGGTCTAACTATTTGCCTCAAACTGAAATCTCCTGATCTTTGCCTCCCAAGTTGCTAGGATTACAGGCACGGGCCACCAGTGCCTGGCAGTACTAGAGTTTGAACTCAGGGCTTCAAGCTTGCTAGGCAGGCATTCTATCACTTGAGCCACTCCATCAGCCAAAATATTTTCTAACAGAAGTCAAATAAACAAATGAAAATAAAGTCAGTGAACAGTCTTAAATACTGAGTTTTACTAAGCAATTTAGTAAAAATTACTAAGTAATTTTTACTATTTGTGAATGAAATCCAAGTGTATATATATTCACCCATACATATTTGAAATTGGTAATCCAAATTTACTCTCCTGAATCTGTCCAAAATGCTTAATATGAACAACTTCTACTTCAAAAGGTTATACAGATAGATAAGAACTGGAAGGGAATAAGGCTAATTTAATCATAGGAAGAAATATTTTACTTGACATGGATTTTACTTAACATGATTTTCTAAGAAATGAACATATTATTATCTTCAAATTATATTAAATTAATAAAGAAGTCTCAGGCTGCCCAAAACAAATTTGATACACAAAAATATTCTTATCTTGAGCATTCAACAAATGCAATTTACCTTGAAATGATATTACTGCTACAATCAGGTAGTCAAAGAGGCTCACTCACATTTTCTTTGGCTTGTCGATGTCCTTCTCCCATATTTCTTAAACTTCCCAAGTACAGTTTTTCCAAGTTTTGTATTTTCTGAGTGTGTGAGTTTTCCCATTCTGCCCTTAGCTTGTCTGCCAAACGAGTAAATTGTTGATTTCTTCTCTGTTTTATGCCTTCTCTTATTTGCAAAGCAATGTCCCTTTCTTGTTCTTGAACCTGAAGGATGAATATTTCATGTATTATGAAGGAGGCTTAACCCAATAACCTATAAAAGGCTAGAATAGTAAACGTGACTTGACAAAATTCACAGCTCAGAGTACAGCTAGAGTCAGACAAGAACTTCATTTCTGGGGTACACCATCTCTGATTCTAGACAGAATAACACTTAAAACATGCTTCACGAAGATTTAACTATTCTACACTGCAGGATAATAACCTGTAACTTCCCAATAAATGCTTCTTAAATACCTTCTTTAAAGTCATTTTAAGCTTTCTGTTCTTATCTTTGCTGACTTCAGATCATTTAAAACCACGTAAAGAACTATTTCCAGTATTTATTGAGTCAAATGATACCTGTCCACCAACTCTTCTTCGGTGTACCTACCTCATCAGCTTATCTTTTTTTTTCTAGGAAGAAATTTTTATTGCTTTTTAAATAAAACCAGGATAAGAATAGTAAGAAAGGTGGACATTTTAATATAACGACCACTCCAGGGGGACTAATTATCCGCATTCTGATTTCAGATAAGGTGCTGGCTTCAGCAGCATGCTCACTCCCCACACCTGTGGGAGCATGTGTCTCCACAGACCTGACAGGTAGTGTTTGTGGCTTGCATTTGGGGAGGAAGGGTAATGTTCTACGTGTATTTTATGCACAATCATTGCAAACCATACCATGTGGAAGGCAGTTGCTACGGATCTCGGATGAAGCACACAGCCAGTTAGCTGCCCTTTCCTCCCAGGGGAAACAGCACTGCATCTGACCTTACCTTGTCCCTCCCAATCGGAAGGGGCATGGCCGTGTACAGATTCTTTCTTCCATCAAACACTGGTTTCCGATCCCCAAAGATCTGTGTTTTAAAGTGCTGGACCATGTGTTCTACTATTTCCCTGTTAACTCTCCTTGGGCATTTCTCTGGCTTGATATCCAATTCATAGTGATAGATGTCCATTTCAAAGAAAGTGGCCTGTAGTTTGATTGTTCTCCCGGAGGTCCCAAAGTGGGGCCGAGGTGGGGGCTTGAAGGCGTATCCTTGCATGGGTGGTGGGGGCGGCGCAGGCGGCGCAGGAGGCGCAAGCACGGGCCGGCTCCCGAGTACATGGTGGCGTCGCAGAGGGGCTCCGGGGCCGAGGGCCGGCCGCACGATCCGCCCCGGCTGGGCCGCCTAGCCAAACAGGTTTCACATCAGCCTATCTTTTGAAATGTTCCAAACCTGGTTAATACACAAGAACCAGGACTCTATACAGTTTTGTTTTTTTTTTAAGGGTTTGAACTCAGGGACTCCTGCTTGCTAGGCAGGCAGGCACTCTACCATCTGAGCCCCTTGCCAGCTCTAATTTTTTTGTATTGGGTATTTTCAACATAGGGTCTTGAACACTATTTGCCCAGGTTGGGCTTCAAACCACAATCCTTCTGTTCTCTTCCTCCCAATTGGCTCAGATTACAGGCATGGGGCTCCCCCGCACTGGCTTTACACAGCTTTTAAATACAACATTTCATTTAGAATACTCTAATGTAAAAAAGAAAATTATTTGAGGAAGACAAAGAGCTTAAAGCTTCATTCCAAATAAATCATACCTGTAGCAATCTTAGTTTTCGTCTTCTTTCATAATCTTCCTTCAAAATGCAGGCTTCCTCCTTAGGACTCAATCTTAGCTTGTCAGCATTCACTACCTTTCTTTTCATTTCTGTGTACTTTAAATAAAATGGATCTAAATTTTTTAAAAAAGAAAAATATCAGTAAAGAGATATATTATTGAAATAGGACAACAGAAGTTTAAATTATTTTGAATTAATATTCTTTTACTATAAATACACAATCAATGTGGGTGAATAGTAAAAAGCCAGCTTATTTACAAATGGCAATTATCAATCCAGTCTTCAGCTCTCAGGTTCTCAGATAGGTGGGAACTGCTCAGGAAAGTGTTTCCCCATCTATAGCGCACTGTACTTAGAGTATCTGGACCTGTCTTATTCCTGACTGGCATTTCCAAAGTTTACTTAGCTAAAACGGAAAAACGCAAAAAGACTTAAAGAGATGTGTTAACACAGAAAAATGTTCTCTTACCACTGACAACCTGTGATGACCAACAAGAGTAAGGTAATTTTAGGGGCTCCTGGCTGCTAGACTCAGCTCCTGGGTCTAGATAGATGTAATTTGATCACAAGCATCACTGTATCTCATGTAATCATATCAATGCCATGACTTACTCTGTAGTAAAAGTTTCTTCAATAATTACAATGGTGTGATTTTTAAAAATCAATGATATTAGAGCCTGTGTTACAATCATTCTGTTTGGACGCATCAAGTGTTTAGATTTCCTTATCTATTCTACCACTACTTTTATTCTCAGATGCTCTCATCCTTAGAGTTTCTTTTGATGGTCCTGGAGTTTGAACTCAGTGCCACACCCAACACTGGTTTTGCTTTAGTTACTTTTGGGATAAGGTCTAACCTAGACTTTGAGTCTCCTATCTATGCTTCCCATATAGCTAGGTTGGCAGGCATGTGCTACTATGCCCAGCTTTTATTGGTTGAGATGGGATCTCACAAACTTTTTGCCCAGGTTAGCTGTGAACCTCGATTCTCCTGATCACCATCTCCCTAGTAGCTAGGATTACAGGCATATTTAGGCCAGCCCTCTCTCTCCTAGATTTTACTACATCTCTCTCTGGGGGAAGGCGGTGGGAAGAAATGGAAAAAATGTGCATCTATGATTTGTATAATTTGAAAACCTTTCCAAAGTAATCCTGATATCAATTTGTTCCCATTATCACCATTTCCAAAAAATCCACATTAGAATAGTTCTACTTGGATAGTTAATACACTCCATGATTTTATCTGAGATAAGTGAACACTTTGCATATGTAAAAATTCCTCAAATGGTACAATTAGATCTGTGTATTTTATTCTAAATTATATCTCAATCTAAAGGAAAAACAAAAAAACGAAACCTTGCTTTTCAGGTTGTTTTGAGTATCCATTATCTCATTTGTAAGAATTATAACAGAATGTATGCACATTTCTTATTTTTAGAACCTAAGACATTTCTTATTTTTAGCACCTAAGATATGAAAGATGTTTTGTGTATAATTAAAATGTTTTAACTTATTTAACAATAACTTTAGGCTTAGTATTTCCATATAGCATCTCCCCCATTCTGTAAATATTAACATCTTACACACTTATAACCAGGAAAGAACACTCACATAATACTTTTAAACAATCTGCACCTTATCCAAATGTCAATTATCCCACTACTGTCTATTTTCTGGTATCCAATCTTGGACATTTCATTATTGCATAACTCTGGGTCCTATAAGAAGCAAACACCAAATTGGATTAAACTCACAGGATTAAGGGAAATGCCTGTGTGAGAGAAAATGGGAGGGGGTGGGGGGTTGAGAAAAGCTGAAAGCACTCTGGACATCAAAGCAAATCTGACACTGAGTAAAGGAAAGAGAGGAGTACCTCTTAGTGATGCTGTCTAAGAAAGGTTCAGAGAGACCCTTGGGAAGTTTCTTGAAAACAAGCCTGCCTTAGCATCCCTGTCACTGACACTGGCTAGGAACAGCCCATGGGATGTGCTGCCTCCACACAAACAGGTTTTGGAATACAAGAACCAAAGTTGTGAGTTACAGTCCCATGACTGCCAAGATTGTTGGTCTCCCCTAATATGAGACATTTCCTCAGTCTTTCACTTCAAAACCCAGACATTAGAACAAACAAAAAAAACAGCAACAACAACAAACACCTGGCCAGTTACTTTGTTCAGTGTTCCTCAATCTGAATTTGTCTAATTTTTTCTTGTGACAAGGCTGAGAGTACACATTTCAGGTTAAGAATTATGCATTAGTCAGCCCTGTGCAGTGGATTACTTACACCAGTAATCCCAGGCACTTGGGAAGCAGACTTCAGGAAGACCGTGGTTTGAGGTCAGTCTGGCAAAAAGTTAGAGACCTCATGTCAAACAATAAACTAGGTATGGTGGTCACTCCCACTGTGTAGGAGCAAGAGGCATACATAGGAGGACAGATCTAAGGCTGGCCCTGGGCAAAAATGTGAGACTCTATCTGAAAAATGAGTAAAAACAACAAGGGCTGGAAGTATGGCTCAAGTGGTGGGCTGCCTAGCAAGTGTGAGGATCTGAGTTCAAACCCCAGTTACGCCCACCAAAAACAAAACTGCACAGAAGTGGTGATACACCTTTCCCAGTGCATCATGTCAGGAGGCAAATGATGTTGGTATGTCTTACGAATGGTGATAAGGCAGTGTCTAGCAGGTTTGTCTACTCTCATCACTATCTTCTTTATAAGTATTCAACGGACAGAGAGTAGAGGCTACATCCAAATGTCATGCCTCGCATTACATTTTTGCACACATTACACTCAGTACCCGCTGAGGACTGTCGACTTAATTACAGGGGTGTTCATCAATGTTATTTTCTATTCCTGTTACGTCTTCTGTACCTATCAATTACTACTACAGGTATCCCTACTTCCTTAAGTTTTCCCTGCGGCCCCATTTACTTACTAAATTAATTATTCCCAAACACGGATCTTTAAGTTGTTTTCTTACCCCAGTATCAGAGACGATACCACTGATCTGGCAAGATTTCATCCTGAGGATTTAACATTAACACCAGACTTAGAGGATGCGGGGTAAAGACCCAACACTGCCGCCCATCGGCAGGAAGACACTAGCTGGGTCACTTAGTCATTTTGGTTTTCTTAAGCTGCGCAGCGGAGCAATGCCACCACAACAGGATACACGGGACTGCGCGGCGCTTTCACACGCGTTCCCAGTGAGAAAGGCTGATAGTGCGGCTGTGAGAGAGGAATTCAGGGTGGCAGCCCGGACCCTGATCCCCACCCCCGGCCACGCGCCGCGGGAAGCCCGCGCGCCCGCCCACCCCGGGAGGCGCGCCACGCCGTGCGCGCGGAGGGCCGCAGGCCGCGCACCAAGGAGCGGCCGAGCCTCCTCCGCGCGCCGCCCGCGCCGCGCACGCCCGCGGCCCGCCGAGGCCTGAACAGCCCGGGCCCCGGGGGTCGTGCACGCCCGGCAGGGTTGGGGGGCGGCGGCGCTCTCTCACCTGAGCCCCAGGAGCGCGAAGTCCGGAGTCCACAGGAGGCAGCTCCCCGCGACCCCCGCAGTGCCCGACGCTCAGCGTCCCAAGAGCCGTTTGGGCGCCTGCGGGGCGGCCATCGCCACGCTCTCGTCACTTCCGTCATTCAAAGCGCCCGTCAATAGCTGAACCAAGCCGCGGGAACCCGCCCGCTTCAGCCACTCCAGGGCCGCCGGGAAGGCCGCGCGCGTCGCCGCCCCGCCCCGCACGCTTACGCGCACGCGCACGCCAATCTTACGTAAGGCCCATTATTTCTCCTGGCTGTCCTGGGGTTTCTAGCATCTGCCTCTCTCGCGCGCTGCTCCTTCCACTGCTCCGCAAACCGAGGTCTAGGAAGGCGAGCTATGTGTTTGCCGGTAGCCGTGACGGAAGCCTTAGTGTTACGGACATCATTGGGTTGTAAACCCTTTCATGTACTGACTCCATAACTCATTGGTTCTGTTACGTGCACTTAGTGAAAAGCTTTCCGAGCAGGGCAGCAGCGAGCTGCCCGCTGCCGCCGGAGGTCTGTTGCCGCTACAACATGTCACAGATTGATCTGCAGTAAATAACCTGCAATCACAGAGCGGGTGAGCACAGGGATTTACTGAGCATCTGCTGTGTGACAAGTGTATTGTGCCAGGTACAGGGAGACAAGGGTAAATGGATGACAACTTACCCAGATTTTGCAGTCTTTTACATGGTAAGGGGTGGAGATGAAAAATTGCTGACATCAGATTTGGCTGCATTGTGGACATGTCAAAGGGAGTGACGATAAAAGGCAGGGAAACTGATTAAAATACTAAAGAAAGTTAAAGATAATAGCAATGAAAATGACGAGAACTGGGTAGATTGAAGAGGCAAATGGGAAGCCAAATACCAGGAATTGTGATCACTTGGTTATAAGAGATGAAGGAATGGGAGAAATCAAGGATGACACCCAAGCTTGAGATTTGGCAGCTGATTGGAGGGGGATAACATCCTAGTAGAGCAGAGAAAGAGAACGATGTTTGACAAGAGAAAGTAATGAGTTAAGCTTTGAATATTTTGAATTTGAGCTGTTTAGGGGATATCTAGACAAAGCAATAAACTCCAGAAATACTTAAGATGCAAAATTAGAAGTTCCTGACACTGCTCCTGAGGTTGAGGGAAAGGAGGGTGAAGCTGGGTATGGTAGCACCTGCCTATGATCTCAGCACTCGGTAGACAGAAGGACTGAAAGTTGGAGTGCAGCCTACACTACATAGGGAATTTGAGGGTAGCCTGGATTTCAAAAGCAGGTGGTGGTTGGTTTGGGGCAGCGGAGAGTGTCACTCTTACAGGCCACTAGCTTGTGTAGCAATGTTGACTATTGATTCTCCAGAGAGAAATCGAAGTAATACTTAAGTGGATGTGGTGATGAGGTCAGCTCTGCATATTTTGAATTTGTGTGCCTGAGGAACATCAAGCAATGTGCATTGGGAGACAAACCACAGAAAGAACTGGGCTAAGCATGTAAGGGTTTCATTGTACGAGTAATAAAAATGGGATGAGATCACTTAAGGAGAATTTGCAGAGTGAGAAGAGCAACAGATAAGGACCAAGCTAAGGAGAACCAGACTTAAAGAATTGGAGGACTAAGTTCTCAAGTACAGAAAGAAGAAATAGTGCGATCCTGTCTTAGCTGTGTAGGCCAGGAAGCTTAGAGGTTCAGCAACTTGGCCAAGATGAGGACTAAAACTTCCAAATCCTTGGGTTCTTCTTCTCTGCCTCCTTCCCCATTTCTATTACATTTGTCTTGATAAATAATTCACTAAAAATGTATTCTTCATCATCCTCAGCACAAATTTAGAGATACCCTTCTACACCCATCAAAAGATATGCCTATTAATTCATGTTTTGGTGCATTTCGTGCCTCATCACGGTTTTCAAAAGCACCTTGCAGTTTGTCCATCATGGCGTTTGTGATTTTTCATTGAGACGAGGATCCCTATTGATTAGACTTTAAGTTCCTTTGAGAACCAAAAGTACATTTTATTCTGTTGCTTGGCACATAGAGCTTCTCAAATGTTGCTGACCAGTTGAATGAACAATTATATGCCCTACTTCCCCAGTTGGCATCCTGGCAGAAGTTCTACAAATGAAGATTCTGAATTGAAATTTGTTCTGTTTTTTAGTTAGAGGCAATGAAGAATCAATGCCTTGTAGGTTTAATATCAGTGTCCAGCTTAGCATCACAACACTAACACTTTCTAGCTCTGTCACAGGAGACCACTAGAGTCTTAATTTTTGCTTTGGTTCTATATTACTATAAAACAAAACCATCCTGCTATATCCAGAATGGTTCCTTTGTGGAGGCAGCTGGGGGGTGGGAGGTGTGAAGGGGGGGTATCTGGCAGTTGATGTTGACTGTCAGCTGAGAGTTCCCCTGAAACTGTTGACTAGAGCATCTACCTATGCTCTCTCCATGTGGATCAGACATCTGCCTGATGACTGGGTTTTGAGAGGAGTATCCTAAAAGTGAGCATTCCCAGAGAAAGTGGATGCTGCAATTGATTTTGAAGGTGAGGCTGAGGAGCACTACAAGTTTTTCCACATTTTATTGGTTAAGTATTACAGGGACAGCCCAGATTCAAGTGAAGAGGATATGAAGTCCACCTCTCAATGCGAAAAGTAGCAAAGAATTTGTTACATCTTAAGCCACTGTTGTTTCCTTAGTAAGTCTTTACCTGCCCTCTTCACAGGGTCTCTGTGAGACTCAAAAGGCAAGACTCACATAAGAGAACTTTGCAAATTCTAGAGGGATGTACACATACTATGTAGGTTAGCAGTCCCTCTTCCCCACCATCCAGCACCTTTCTCTTTTCCTCCAGTACAGACCCAACTCTCCAAGCTACAGAGGTAGGCATGTAACCCAGTGTGGACAAATTGCAGTTCACTATCAGCCTTGCCATTGTGACTGATCCCAGGATGGGTATGTGACCTAAACTGGGCCAACCAGAGTCTTTCACAGTAATTGTTTTTATTGGAACCGACAGAAACGGGACATTTTCTCTCTGCACTCGTGTTAGGATATGAATCTGGAGCTTCCCTAAGGTGGTTCTCTGCTATGTGGTTGCTCACAAGTTCTGAAAGTATGAGTCTGACATACAGCAAGGAGTACAAAGCGAATCCTGACAGTGTTCAAGTTCCTGGATCTATTCATCCCTGAGGTCAGCAGCATACCTGCTCATTCTCTATCTTACTGACGTGAATGCCTCCTTTTATTCAAGATGCTTCAAATAGGAGTTTCTGTGTTTTTCAGATTAAAAGAAGATACAGATTTATGCTTAAATCCTCATGGACATATTACATCTGGGCATTTTGGGAAATAAAACATAGTAACAATTAAGATTTTGGACTGTGCCAACTACTTGGATTTAAATTTCTGGGCTTATGGATTAAGAAAATGTGGTATTTATATACAATGGGATTTTACTCAGCCACAAAGAAGAATGAAATTTTGTCGTTTGCAGGTAAATAGTTGGAACTGGAGAACATCATCTTAAGTGAAGTTAGCCAGGTTCAGAAGGCCAAAAGTCGCATGTTCTCCATCTCATGTGTGAAATATAGACCTACTACAAATACAGCAATATTATGAAAAACAGGACACACACACGGGAGGGGTAGGGTAAAATAAGGAAACTAAGAACTTGAATGTGGGTGATATATTCTCTATATAAGAATGAATATAGAAATCTTAAACTGGCTGAAACCACCATAAGAGAGGGACTAAGGTAGGTAGAATGAAGAAAATTAGAGGAGATAAACTAATTGGAGTTATAATACATACATGCACGGAAACATTACAAGGAAATTCCCTTTATCTCAAACAAGCAAAAATGACATGTTTTTCTTTTTCTCTTTTACAAAATCCAAGAACAGGAGGGTGGAACACGTCCTGCCAGGGAGGAGGGTTGGCACCAGTGGGAGGAGGAAGGTGGTGGGGAAAAGGGTAGGAGGGTAAATATGATGCAAAAAAAATGTGTATACATGTATGTAAATGCAAAAATAATACCTGTTGAACTATTCCAGGAATGGAGGGGGGCGGATAAAAGCAAGGACAGAGGGAGTGAATTCATGTATGATATATTTGATACATTGTAAGAACCTTTGTAAGTGCCACAATGTATCCCCACCAGCACAACGATAAAGGACAAAAATTAATTTCCAGGCTTACTAACTAGCTAACTAATTAACCTTGAGCTCCTTACTGAACCTCCCTAATAGTCAGTTTCCTCCTCTCTGAAAGAGATGCAGTAGAAGTACTCAAAAGGTTGTTGTAAGACTTAAAGTGCTTAAGAAAATGGCTAGTACAAAGTGTTCAACAAATGTTATCTTTTTTGGCTTTTCATACACTTGTTTTTGACTACAGGAGGCAAAAAAGAGAAAATTTTAAATGTGTTTATTGGTGTTTTGGGTTTGATTTTTAGTTAAGTCCTTATACATTATAGCATAGAGAAAGGTGGGCATATTTACCTTCCAGTGCTGCTAACCCATTGGGAATGAACATTAATGACCAGTGATCAAGAGAAAGATTTGTCTGTAGGCAGTAATGATATTAATGTGACTGCTTTCCATGAAGTGCTGCCCTCTTCAAAATGCAACTGAAGTCAGTTGGGGGGCAGGGGCAATTGAAGATATTTCTCTGATCATAATGGTTTCACTATTCTTATTCTACTTTAATTTTTAGCTACATATAAGATGAAAACTAACATTTAAGTGGTTGGGGGGGTCACTCAACAATTCTTATGTATAAAATTCAAAAGGGAATTTCTACAAGAATAAAAATAATTGAAGAATGTACATCTGACTGTCTGTCAACTGGCCTCTCCCTTCCTGGCATAAACACCACAAGAGTTGACAAATGACAGTGTCTCAGTAGGAGTGAGAATAAGAGTGCGAGAGAGGAAGAGGGAGCTGAAAAAGACTCTTTTCTTTGTTTTTGATGGGACTGGGGTTTCAACTCAAGGGCTTTGCACTTGTAAAGCTGGTGCTCCACCTCTTCAGCCACACTTCTAATCCTAAAAACTGAATATACTTTTTGTAAGGGTGGAGCAGGGATTGAACCAAAAAAAAGCCATTTACTTAAGGGGTAAGAAATTAGAAGATAAAATTCATTAGTTGTGTTCCATCTTTTAACTCTTT